CTTAGAAATGGAAATCTTTACGATGCACAAAGGAAAGAGAGTGGTAGAATAAATTGTGAAGGAGCCAATAGAGGGCGTAAGGAGGAGTTAGTTGAGTCGAATGTGGGAGTGATGAAGTGACTGATGAAGGAGGTGAGTCAATCCCAGCCCAATGTGGACTAAACCAACAGTATGACTCATAATTCAGAAACTTTTATATTCTTTTTTACTTTTCCATCAAAATCAAACCATAACTTGATATTCCAAAAGCACTGCAACGCTCTTTACAATACATTTCTACCAAATGTGTAGTTTTGCTCTTCTTTTACCTCAAAATACATTTCGATAATACTCCCTTTTTTTTTCAAAGGATAACTTTATATGGGTCAAATGCAGAACCCCCACCCCACCGTCTTACTAATGTCTGCTTTTTCTCAACTTTCACATTTCTAATATCAAAATTCACTGGTGTTTTGCAGATTATCTTGTTGATTGGAACTTTCAGATAAACATTGCACAGGTTTTGGAATTTGCCGTTGAACCATAAGGGAAGTTAAGTCAGACAGGACACAGTAAAAACAGACATACCAGAACAATTAAAGGCAGTGCAGTAAATTCCCAGCGGCAAGTTAGACAAACTCCAGACAGGCTGAAATCCATTGAACAGAGAAGCTGAGGAAAGCTTCTCTGTTCAATGGACAGCTGATTCAACCAAGGATCTTGAGGAATAGTTTTTGTACTCACATAGAGAATCTTCAAAGAATCCAAAACTTTAAGAGTACAGATTTTAGTCGAAAATTATATTATGAATAAACATTGAGATGTTTTCTACCCATTAATATGTGGTATACTCTGTTCAAATTTGGTTAAACAACTCTATTACTGTGGAAAACGTAATAAAACTCAACTTGCAATACCCTGCTTACAAACTGTGTTTAAGTATTCAAATATAAGAAATATTTTAAGTTTGACATGGGGAACATGAACAGTTGCCCATTGACCCATCAGAAGAAGAACCCATCACCAAATGCCTTTTTTATCACAAAATTGTGCAATCAATGAAGATTGTATAGCATTTTTGGAACGTGCAATCAGTGAGGATTTACCACTTTTCTGTGAGGAGAAGGTGTAACTTGTTTCCTGTTGACATTAGAACAGTGCTTCTCAATTCAAGTCCTCAGGCCTCCTTGCTCTGCATGTTTTCAATGTGCCACTATACCAGAACAGCTGATTCAAATGATTGCATGACTTCTTCTGCAGCCATCTAGTACTGCAGAAGCCTGTTAATCACCAAAATATTCAATCCAGGTGTGAGGCAGAAGGGAAACACCTAAAACATGCAGGGCAGGGCAGCGTGAGGACTGGAATTGAGAAACACTGTATTACAGGGAGCATGTTTCATGACAGAACTGCAAGGAATTTTTCCAGTTCCACATCTGAGTGTTTCCTTATATCGGATTGCTTTTCTGGAGGCATAGCAGTTTGATGGTGTCAATCAAAATGAGCACTTCTGAGGTAAATTACATCTTTGTCTTTAGTAACAATGCTTTAGTGCTTCATTAACTGACATGTGAAATGGAAATCACAAACAAGGGGTGTTTTGTTGAATGTTGAATTGGCTGCTTCTATTCAACATTGGAAAGAAAACATGTAGCAGCAATGGGTAAACATAACAGGCAAGTGTTCATGCACTGACAATGGATGCTTTAACAAAGCCTTCCTTTTAGTCTTGACCAGAGTCTTAATCTAGTATTTGTGTTCTTATAGACAAATACTAGTGGACTGTTTCATAATTCTCATATTAATAAAGTGGAAACAGGTCATCGTCAAAAACACAAGCAAGAAGTAAAGTCTAAAGAAACTTTATGACGTTAAAAAAATTGTAGTTTTTTCTTCTCCTCTCCTTCATTCTCTTGATATTTTATTTTATTGTCCAAAGAGCCAAAGTTTCTTGAATTCAGGGGAAACAATGCTGTCGTTTTTAATCAAAACTTCTCAAGAGATTTCTATAAGCACAGTAACAGCACAAACATTCACACAAATATGTGATATTCTGGATCTACTGTTAACTTCATAAACACATTTTCCCTCCACCCAGGATGATTAAATAAGACGTGTAGGGATAGATTCCGGATATCCTCCCTAATTTGAGAATGAGCTCATGGTGCAGAGAAATATCATACTGTGTCCAAACATCAGTCTCTAGAGCAATAACCCTGTCAGTCAAAACATCTGCAGAAAAAAAAAAACAGAAACATGAAGTGAGAGGACAAAAATGTGAGAGGACAGGGAAAAAGAATCGCCTTTTAGAACTCTTTTAGATAAAAAAAAAGATCGTAATTAAGATAAAACATACTTAATTTGATGAAACAATGAAAAGACAATATGCAGCAACAAAGTGAGTTATTATGTCAGCTGCTTGCAAATGCATTGAGGCATAGTTTGAAATTCATAAATATGCCCACATGACAAGTAAAACAAATGCTTGGAAATTCCCGCTTCTTCATTAATAGGACAGGTGCCCTTATGGAAGTTGTGTTATCTGGGCCACCTAAGATGATTATGACAGCTTAAATTAAGAAATCAAAAAACATTTCCATCAAATATGCTTTTAGGCTACATATTCTTGTTTGACTGCCAATAAACTTCTCTGACATGCATAGTTTTCACAAGCAAGGGTTTTTCCATTGTTTCTGAACGAGCATCCTGGTCAAGGTCATGTAAAGGATCAAACAACAATTTATACTGGCATCCCACAAACACTCTGGAGTAATTTGTTCACTTTATTAGGTATACCTTGCGAGTAGTGGGTTGTCCCCTTTTTGTCTTCAGAACTGATTTAGTTCTTCATAGCGTAGATTCCCCGAGGAGTCTCGAACATTATTCAGAGATTTTGGAAAACATTGACATCATAGCAAGTTAAGAGCTGAAAGTTCATGGTGGAAATCCCCCCATTCCACTACATCCCAAAGTTGTGCGATTGGATTGAGATCTGGTGACTGTGGGCCAAGGGATTATGGCGAGCTCACTGACATGCTCAAAAAAACAGTTGCCAGCATTATACTGCTGGAAGAAGTCAGAATGGGTCCCCTGTGGTCATTAACGGATGGGTATGGTCAGCATTTAAATTGCCTATTAAAATATTAAAAGTGGGTAAAAAGACACCAACATTGCCAGTCTGAATGGTTTGTTACTTTCTTGACACCAATAGCTACTTTTTAACAGACAGCTGAGTTACCACATGAGACGTAAAAAATATTATTTACTTGTTTTATATATGAATATACCGTGATACCAGACATATTAAGGTGATAGAACAACATCAATATTCCCACTAAATGGGAAACACAAATAGTTGGCAAAAGTTATTTTGTGTCTTTAATAAAGTTCTAAATGTTTTGGATCTTAGTGAATCTTTTGATTCATTAAGTTCCATGTATGATTTTGACCTTTCATGGACAAGAGAAAACTTGCAGTAAAGTCAGATGAAGTGTGTGTTGTACAATCAGTACCCCCACTCAAAAAAACAACAACAACAACAAAAAAAAAACAGATATCGGTTTGACTAATGTGTTAATGTTTGATGTACCATGAACCTTGGATATATATCATTTAACCTTGCAGTGGTGGATATCAGTTCTTTAATGAATCAATCTATTCCACACGTGATTTTCAGGTGTTTAGAGTACTGGAGATATAATCCTCCCTCTTACAGCTGTTTCAACAAGTACCACAAGTGTGTTTGATGAGTGTATCTGCTACTTCTCTGTTTTATCATAAATAAGATCCTTCCCTTCTTACGTCATGTCTGATCCAGTCTGGACAATGATCATCAGACAATGATCATCAGCCATTTTCAGACAAGTCAAAAACGGAAAAACAGAAAGGAGCAACAATAGAAACTAGGGTGTGATGGTGTTAAAAATAATGACGTCACTAGTTCTTCCTTTTCAAGGCCTTCTAAGGACAGTCTCTGCGCTGTCTGAGTGCCTTGGGAGGAATGTGAAGTAGCAAGTGGATCATGCTGCATGAAGTAATGGCATTTTGATTTTGGCAAGTCCACTCCTCTTTTGTATCTGTGTTATTTCCAACCATAGAGAAAGTTAATTGAAAATAGTGAGCTCTTTAAGACTTTATTTCATACTGATTTCATGTTAATTTTTCTTCAATTTTTTTTATTTTATTTTAATAAATATTTCATTGTGTTGTGTGTGCCTGTGTCTGCCTGTGTGTGCGTGTATTTTTCTGCACTGTTCCTGATTCCATTTCTTGGCTGTGCAGCTGTAGACAACACCATCAACATAATTAAAGTTGGTTGGCGTGGTGCCTGGTCTGAATCACCTGACATCAGATGCATTTAAGGGCATGCTAATCCATCCAACTGGCCAGTGTATGGGTTTAAAGAGTTCAACTGTGCTATGGGCATAACACTTGACTGCCATAGCCATATTTGCAGTATCAAACCCCTCCTTCAACAGCCCGACATTGGATGTGCTGTGTCTGTGTTATTCTATCCTCTATTTGTTCTACACCTTCTCAAATTCACTAAAATATTGTCTCCAAATCGTATTCATTGTTCATTTCACTCTTCAATATAATTTCCCAAGACCCACACACAACAGGTTCAGAAAGAAAGGGGCATGACTGAAAGACTGAAAACTATAGTGAACATGTAAAAGTTTGGTGCAGGCAAATAGCAAGGAAACATAAATGACAAAAATGTGAACATGAAGCCCACACAAGCAGGTATGATTTAAAAAGTGTCAGTATATTGACTGAGGAATCATATGATGATAATATCAATACATAAACAAAATCATTAACAGTAAGATTGTAGATGTAATTACATACATACTGTACTGCTTCTACAAACGTTCAAAACAGACAGGCACATGCACCACCACACCTCGAGTATTCAGTTGAAGGCTTATTCCATGATTAAATAAATACATATGTTTATAATAATAATAATAACAATAATAATAATAATAATAACAATAACAGAGCATTTGTTCACTTACCCTGGAAGGTGTCTAACTGACTAGACAGCATATTTTCCAGTTCATAGGTGTAGGACTCAATTTTTTGGAGGGTTTCTCTTCTCACAGCAGTCTGGTAGCTTTCCTCCATCTTCTTATTGCAGCAAGATGGACCTTGGTGCTTACATATCTGCAGATCAGCATCTGGGGAAAGCAGAAACAACAAATTCAACAATAATCATTTTTTTCTTAGTTGTCTTAATTAAAAAGACGGATTATTTATATGGTGGGAGGATAAGCAAATAAGTACAGTGGGTAGCATTGTGCACGTCATTAAAATTTTGCAGCGGTTGTATTTAATAAAACATATTTCCGACTCCGCATATATCAGTTTATGATCATAGACTGAAAGAAATATGTTACAGTGTATCTAAAGTTCCTGGCTATGAGCACAGACAAGTCATAACTCCTCTGAAAGACAGAAGTGGCACCATGTCATGGTGAGAAAGTAGACCGAGTATTTCATCCATGTTTAACAGCTATAAATACTGTCTGAGCTAAATATATGATCTTGCCTCAATGTGATACGAAGGCACACATGGTTGTTTCATATACTGAGGTATGCTTATGCACTTAATGATAGATTTAAAGGAGATAAAAAAAATACATGGATAACCATATTTTTTTCAACGTATCCATGATCATAAATGGATATTTATTGATAATCATGATCACTTGATTTTAATGGGCTGCAAAAAAGCACTGCACAACAACAATATTACCCCAGTAATTAAACTTCAACCAATATGATCTAACACAAAGTTAACATCAAATGAGACTTCATCCACTCTCACCTGTATCAGCTGCCTTATGCCATTGCTGAAGTGAGAAAGTGACTTGGGAACACATTAATAAAAAATTTATTATGCAAAAGTCTTACATCACTCAGATAACTCATTTTACATGGGGAAAGGCTGGACAAGGATGGCTCTAGGCAGATGTTGTAATCAGAGCCTAAAGCATGGTGTTAGGCCAGACCACAAGACCAGCGCTTCACTGGTCAAATCCCTCCATGAAACACAATAGGGTTACATTCTGAATCTCTCTTTCACTCTCTTCTCCCTCTCTCCCATTTGCCGGGCATATCCTTGTGAGGCCTGGGTGTCTTTTAATTACCCAGAGAGACTGCATTTGTTTCCATCCCAGAGCCAGATGAATGAAGTCATGACTGGCTGTCCTCCGGCTGTTAGCTCATTATCTGTCTCTGTAGGGGTCTGCTTTTTTATTTTGACACTTGTCTGTTGCCTAATGCTCTGCCTGTCAGATTTCTGCACTGTCATCGTAAAAGCAATCAAGTTACTAGAACATATTTTTATTTGTGAACATGTCAGAATGATTAATTTGTACAGATATAATCAGTTTATTCTTGATTATTTTTATCTATCTTATGACACAATCTTGATCCTTTTGATTTATATAAGTTAATAAGCAGTCTCAAAAAGGGCATAACTTTTAACCAATGAACATTTATTAATTGTAAGGTTCTGTCGTGTCTAGTAAGTACAAAAGCTTAAGAATGGTTTAAAGCTTGATCATTATCTCTTTTCTCTGCTGTTTCCATCCCTTCTGTTGCTGATCTCACGCTCTCGGATTGATCCTAGCCATGACTCTTTGTCCTATCCATGTAACTGCATCAAGTAAGTGATGCATAAGCAAGGTGTTGTTCTGAGTAGGAATATTAAATAAAATGTCTATATTCATGAGAAAAATGACTCAGTTTCTTCCATAAAAACAGCTTATAACTTATTGACTTCTTTTATCAGTACCTTTTTAACACCTACACTCACCAAACACATTATGAGATTTACATTAAAACCAGGTTGCTTCAAGTGAAGCTTTAATGCTTCATAAGATATAGTGATATAGCTTCAAAATATATTGACGCTATTAATTATAACGTGTCAAAATGTGATTTTTGCCAATCACTTATTATCCAGCCACATATTTAATGTGTAATGGGATTGTTATTTTTTTTCGAATTATTGCATTACATTTTTTTCTTTCCCTTTTCCCAAGGATTAAAACAAAATGTGTAATTAATGCCCTACATACACTCTTGCTGCTTGGTAAAACTTTAACAGTCCACATGAGATGCCAGTTCTCATATTCATTTAATTGTTTTAAGGTAATTAATGCCTTTGGAGTAACTTGCCACAGTTCAATGGTCTTGTCAAAAATTAAGTGTGGAGAAGCTCAACCACTGTACAATTCCTGTAATCCACATTCCAATAATGATATGCTAAACAATGACAGCATCACTTGTATCACTAGTGATGTTTCTCCATATGAATCAGGTTTTGAAGTTAAATACATATGTATACCACAAAATTTACATTTTTGCACTTGTGGAGCAGGTTGCAATGTAATCTGACTGTCAACATTCAAGATATGAGGTATATTACATAGGGTAGCATTGTGCACATCAAAAGATATTTATGTGTTGTTTAAATTTTTCAAATGAGGTATGGCTATTTCACTCTGATGTTCACTTATATTTGGGAGACTGGTGCTTCCTAAGGCTACTGTTTATTTATATTTTTCCTAGAACACGAATAACTTTGTTAAAAAGTACTCATTAATTTGGTTTGCTTTCTGCTGCCTCTGGAATTCTGTACCCTTTGAAAATGGAGGATATTTACTCTGCAAAGATTTGCTGGGCTTACTACAGACCGGGTTGAATGAAAGCACATCTCAAAGTGGTCTTTGCCACATACCTGAAGTTTTGGACTACCTTGAAACAAAGTTTCAAGGTTTTCCCAGAACCAGAGCTGGAACTGCATTTAGTGATTGGCATGGAGTCCAAAGCCACATCAGAGGCCAGAAGTTGGAAATACAGATCATAAAGATAGATGTAAGGTTAGTGGGCAAATAGACTCAGACCTGCTGAAGCAGCAATTTACTGGAAGGGCATTAAGACACTATTACTTATAGTATCTGTTACGACCCATTTAACAACCCATGTGTTGACTTAGAAATGCCCTAATACCCTCTGGTGTTCTTTGTATTGGTGGATGAACATTAATCTTTATATGTAGACATTTCTATATGATTTAATAGCAAAAATACACTTAGAAAAAAACCTATTCCTCTGAACAGCCAGGGGCATAGAAAATTAGCTGAGGCACAAAATTATGCACCATGGGTATATGATGTAAATACAATGACTACATGAAGAACATGTTTTGAATATAATATATGTTGAATATAAACAAACTAATAGATTAGCTAAGATTAGTCCAAGACAAAAAACACAGATTGATCCATTTGAGAAGATAAGGATGCAATAAAAGGCATTACTTTATTCCTTATAGCTCTGGAACAGATATTAATACATTAATCTTTTTTTCTTTATTATTTAGTAAATTTAGGTCTTGTCTCATCAGAACAAGCTTATATATTTATATATGAAAAATATCTTAAATTACCCCATAAACATAACCGTTTAGATTTTAGTTTAACTACAAAGATTGTAAATAACTCAAATATCAATCATCAATTAAAGCAAGAGCATCCATTATAAAATCAATTTAACCACTTTCCATCTTCCTTCTATGGTAATTGTTGATAACATTTTTTTTTTTTTTTTTGCATTTTCATTTTGAAGATAGGAATGTCACTCAAAGACATAAATGCAAGAATGCAGTTTATTTGAAACTGGACCCTCCAAACGCTGGGTGACACACTCCTGCTACTTTGTAAGAAATCTGTTCACAGCACATAAAGCACAGCACTGTATCCTAAGGCAAACATCACACTGTGAGGAAGGCTGAAGCCCAGCCTCTTCACATTTCAGGAGTTGCTTTTGTTGGCATATGATGTGAGGACTGAAGAAAAGTTGCATCATTATATACACATAATTCTTACACATTCTCAGAATCAGTTTCACCTCTTTGAGTTTTGGAGATATAATTCAAATTTGGAAAGTTTAATCGCTAGGTGCTTTTTTTTTCTTTTTTTTCCTTTGATCACTCTCGTCTAGTCTTTTATATGAGGCATCCAGGAGGCCTATATATATATATATATATATATATATAATATATATATATATATATATATATATATATATATATATATATATATATATATATATATATATATATATATATATATATTATATATATATAATATATATATATATATATATATATATATAGATATATATATAGATATATATATATATAGATATATATATATATATATATATATATATATATATATATATATATATATATATATATATATATATATATATATATATATATATATATATATATATATATATATATATTGAGAACAGTTTTAAATCTAATCAATGGTAGAATCCATTTTTTCAGTAATATCACAACAGTATTTAGAGCAAAAGAGAATAGTGGGGAAACTAACACCATTGTTCATTGAAAAGACAATGACAAGAGTTGGTTTCAAATTTTTCAAACTCCAAAGGCTGCAACTTTTCTGTCAAGAAGGTGACATGTAGGGTCAGAAAGGTTTTCTATAAAGTTCTGGAATGTTTGTGCTGAAAGTTGATTTACAAATTACAAAGATCTTAAACTGTGTGGTCAAAGTTGTAGGATTTCATCCAGTGCCTTGCTAATTTTGTCATCCACTTTTCCTAATCAGTGGATTTGAAAGAGTTTCACATGGTTTGAATGATGTTTCATTGGTAAGCCAATGATTCATGATTTCATGTTATATTCCTCATCTTCAGTTTCAGGAGGAGCTTGTAGAAATCTCCTTTACAGATCATAGCTGCAGGCTAAAGTTTGTCTTTATAACTAGAACTGCACCGGGTAATGGAAATGATATACTCTGTTGCCAATAGTAACGCTACATAAAACAAACATATCAAGTGATTTAGATGCACCTCAAACTATGTTTCCCACTCCACTATCTATTACTCTTCTTCCAGTTACAGCATGCAGACTCGTGCTGGGTGACACTTGACCTGAAACCAACAGGTTAAACTACTGCCACAGTAATCTCAGTCTTTATCAAGTAGAGCACTACTCCAAAATAAACCATAACCTTAAATACAACCACCATAAAAAATGACCTCAGGATTACCAGTTGTAATACATCATTATTCTCAATTTAATTAACTGTAAAACAAAACTGCAGTTTTAAAACAAAAGAAAAAACTTTTCTTATTCATTTGAAGAACAAACATAATTATAAAACTTGGGTCTCACATTTTTACGGATAGGTCCAAAGCTGATCAACTAGAGTTCCCACACAATTTCAGCAGTTGATCTAGAATCTGACTGTGTAGCCAATGAGTTTTCTAAAACAACAAACAAGAGTAAAATATCTTAACAATATAGCTATATCAAGACTGAAGGAAAGTTAACTGTAGTCAACTCCTGAGTTGACTACAGTTGAATATCACTGGCAGAGTGATAATATCTGATAAGCAAAGTTGTAGCAAAATTTGGGGTGACAGTTTCGTGCATTGCTTAATAACATTAAGATGATGATTTAAGGCCTTTGGTCTTAAATCACCAGCTACCTATCATGAGAAAATGACAAAGGGTATTATTTCATTCCAAATTAAAATGAAAATCTAAATATGACAAAAATGGTTGTCTTAAGACTAAACTCCAATCCACATTAATGAGAAAACTACTTCATCTATTCTTGGAAAGGATGATGTCTATAGGATCTGAAATGTTGACTGTGGATGGAGAAAAAAAATTGCAAGAATATCTTTAATGTTTAGAGACAGGAGTGTGGCTTACGATGACCTACTACTTGGGAACTGCATTGAAAAGTTATTGTAATACAAAGAATGAAAGTCAAATATAACAAGCTGTTCCAGTACCTATAAGAACAGTGTTCAGTTGGGAACAGCTGCTGACAGAGTGATTTTCATGGCACAGTAGTGAAGAAAAATCATCAACACTACAAGTGCAGTAGCACTGTAATTTATACTTAGATATTGCCTCAAATTATTCTGCTGAAAATCTTGGATAGGTAAAATATTTAACTAAATATTTCATTTTATGTAAAAGACCCCAATTAGTAAATACGAATTTAATTTAAATTTAAAGTTGTTAAGAAATTCATAAAAATGTCACCCCAAAATCTACTTTAAATATACTTTGTTGTCTTTCCATTGATTCAAAATGTCAGCATTTCTTCATTTCTTGCTTTAGCCATTGTTTACATCTGGATAAAATGTGCCGCAAGATTTCTGACTGAAGATTTTCTTTAAAACAATGTATCCAATTTTAAAGCATAATGGAAGTGGTACAAATCAGATGTTTTTTTTTGTTTGTTTGTTTTTTTTTTCTTTTCTGTTAGCTATGAGACATATTAGGGGGAAAATCTGGCTTGGGTTGCAGTTGTGGTAATGACGCTAACAAGTTTGTTATTTTACTAATAATATTACTGATCAACATATCAAAAGCTCAAATGACGGTAAATGTCAACTACAGTCCTACATTTCAGAAGAGTTCAAACAGAGGCAACATTAATGAGCAGCCAACATTTTTTATATGGCTTGGAAGTTGAAGTTGAAGTAGAAGACGAAAATGTCTTCATACATCTGCTTCAGCAATCCCACTGACATTTGAACAAAGCAGGCAGCACTGTTTTCTTATATCCAGTGCATTTTATGCAATTCAGATTTAATTGATTTGTCAGAAAATCTAGAATACTCAGGTGAAAGCCTTAGCATTTACCTGGATGAGTGACTAACTGACAAACAGGCCACAATTTACCAGACTCAATGGACATATGTTTAACCAGATGGTCAGCAGCATAAAAGCATCAGAGAAGACTCACCATTCCTGGTCCCTCTGTCCACATCAGGCTTCCAGTAAAAGACATTCTTTTCATCAGCAGGGACACTAACATGACTCTGCAGTGCCTGAGTGTATCAGAGGTGTGCAAGAAGCTGAGTTGTGGCATGGTCTAAAAAGTATCTTACTTGAATGTGAACAACCCAACTGAGATGATTCTAGCTTTTAGGAAAACCAGGACTAGGTCAAATGCTAAATTAATTCCAGAAGAAGAAGAGATGGTGAAGGAATATAAATATAACAGTGACAGCAGCAGTAAAACTGTGTACAAGATGGGACAGTGCAGACTGTACTTCTTGAGGACACTTAAACCCTTAAGTGTTTTTGGGAAGTTTTTGGATGCCATTTATACATGTGTTGTGGAGAGAGCAATCTCTTCTGGCGTATTCTGCAAATTTAGCACCATCAGTCAGTGACTTTTAAAATGCTCAAAAAACAAATAAACAAGGTTTGTTAAGTTCTAAGAACTCTTCTAGAGTATTAGAGATGATTGTGCAAAGAAGGGTCCTTAATAAAATGATGAACATAACAAACATCCTTGAACATCCTTTGCATGACACTGTCCAACAACAGTAAATTGATACATTGGGACAATTTAGAATGAACCTGGGACTAACACTGTGGAGATGGATGGATCCATTTTGCAAAATAATATGGCAGTGCAATATTCCCTATTGTTTTCTAATTAACAATCCACACTTGTAGTCTCTGATTAGTTCCAAATCAAGACATGATTCCCAGTAATCCTTTTTGAACATGTTCAATTCAGCCTCAAACTGATGGACTGTCGAGCTCCCAATAGATGTTCTTCTGGGGATTCTTCATAATAACAAGATGATGTACTGTAGCATCAGAAAATTTGCCTTAATCTGAAATGTTTTCATGTTGTGACTTTGATAAAGAAAAAGTATTCTCTTGTCCTTATGTTCACCAAATAATACAGGTGGTTTTGAATGGCTTTTGTGGGTTTCTTTCTTCAGTAGGTAAAATTCGTAGAACAGTTAAAGACTTTTACAGGTTAAGAGCTTGAGAGCAAGAACTGCTTAATGGTCACTTTCCATGTCATTTATTCATGACACGCACCTTCATTTCATGAATTTACTGAAATAATAAATAAATTTGAGTTCATGAGAACAGAAGATGCACAATTGTTATGTTGACAATTATCATATGGATAATCTATACTTATCCATAGATTAAGATTAATAGTTTTATGAATTTTATGAATTATGTGAATGTATTATGGGCTACAGAGTTGTTAGAGTTGTTGTCTTACAGTAAGAAGGTCATAAGTTTAAATGCCGACTTGGGGTCATGAAGTTTGCATGTTCTCTCTGGTTGTTTGATTGTTTGTTCGGCGTATCTCTCACACATACCCCATCTCTTGATTTCTATGATTTCTAAGTTGATGAAATCAAAAGTCATCAACTTATGATGACATATGACATATGAAATGGGCACCTCCCCACCAACATCCCTGCAAAGATAAGCTGTTTTATAAGAGGGAGGAGAAGCTGAACGGATGACTATATTATGATTACATTTACTAATAATATGAACATGCAAAAAAATTAAAAGAGCATGTTGAATCTCAAACCAAAAAGGATGCAGAATGTTATTATATGTTTGGTTTACAGTGTTTGTCAACCAATGCTGTCATTGTTATGCCAAAGCCAAAACTTTCCTAAATGGAATTCTGCTTAATTAAGACATTGAAAACCATTTGAAGCCTTACAAAGCTTCCTTTTGGTTGATTTGCTGAAAGAAGTTCCATGCCACAAAACCTTAAGACGAGGTTTGGGGTTTTATTGATGCAATAATAATCAGAACAAAAGGCTCTTAGAATAATGCTAGCAAACATGTAGAATGAGTATTAACTGCGATTTCTTTACAATTGCAGTCGTAAAAAGAAATTTTCAACCATCGGTTTCTTAGCAATGTTTCAGTTTGCTGTGATGCAGACTGATCTTTATTTTCATCATTTTTGTTTCATTTGACTTGAAGTTTTGGAAGACCTTTCCCCTTATGTTTAAGAAAAATTGAATAAACATGTGGATGTCAACTAAGCATCACTGCAGGAAAACCTGTGTTCTAGCATTTGCAAGTTTGATTAAATCATAAGTCATCAACTCATGATGATATATGACATCATGCATTAACCAAGTCATATATATGATGTCATATATTATGATAACATCATATAAGTCATCATATATTATGATGACATCTTATTTTCACTGATTTGTCAGCATGCCCTGGCCTAAGGAAATCACAAAACGAGACAGTCACAGTCATTTAAAACATCCATATATGTTGTCTTGGCTCTCAAGTGCACTTTTGACCCCTGCATATATATGATATTAAGAACACTAAACTTTTACTAAGGCTAACCTAGATAAGTTTAATCTAACCTATGGGTGTTTAGATATATTTGTTTAAATAAGTAAATAAAAACCCCAGCATGCCATCCCACTTACTAAATGATGCTTGCATGTGCGCCCGCTGAAGCGTTCGTTTCCTCCACCAGACTTACCTTTGTATGGTTTCTCCGGCACCAGGTGAAGCGGTCCAATGTATCGCTGCTGGAAAGCGGCTCTCACTTCATAACAGCTGTGCTTATCCGCCTCGATTGCGTTCACTGCAAAAATGACCAACGCCAAAATCCTGACGGAGTCAAAAGAGTTGACGCGTGGGCATATTCCTCGGGACATTGCCGCATCTCACACCAGGTAGTCTCGCAGATGACCAGCTGTAGTCTGACCGTAAGCTGTCTGACGGTGTTGAAAACGGAATTGCGAACGTGAAAAGCGACGGTTCGAGTGAACATCTGACAGATCTTTCTGACTGAGTCTCACATTATCGGTTGGGATGAGAGAAAGCGCCGCAAAGACAGGGGAGGTTTGGTGTCGTACAGAGGAGGAGTGGTGTCTTCTGAAGCCAGTCTGTCCCGCGCTTGGCACTTTGCAGTACTTGACTGCATGTCGGCTGTGCCTGTTTCCAGCGTGCTGCGCACGTTCCCCTCCCTGTTCCGTGTATCTCGGCTGAACGTTCAACACCAAATGGTTCAGTAGTAGACTTGTGGAACTTTTCACTTCATGGATGTTGGATATGAGATTTGGAGGGTAAAGGTAAACCTCCATAATACAGGAAAAAATGTTATGTGGTTATTGTAACGTCCGCAATCTCACTTTACCGACATCACTTACCTTTTTTTTTTCTTTTTTTTTTCCTCTCTTTTATGAGAAAAATGGAAAGGTTTATCAAAGAACGCACGCTAAGCTTCATTACAAATTACTTTTCAAGGATTAAAATGAACAAGATAAGAACTGCAACAAAAAATATTTAAGTTCCAATTATTTACCTTGATTGTGTACGTTATTGTAGCATTAATTCATCCTTAGGATGTAATTAAATCTATGGAGTTTGAGTAATTCTTAAAACTACTGAAAACTAATTATTTAAGATACAATGGCGCCACCTTATGGACAACAAGTATTATGACATAGCGTGACATGCCTTTATTGTTTGTGATTTTGGATAATTATGTCTTACAAAAAAAACCCAAAATTTAGTGTCTCATAAAATTATTCTATTACATGAGATGAAAAAAAATTCTAAACAGAAATGTAAAACCTCTGAATGTATGTTTCTTAAAACGTAGATGGGTCTCTTAGCATCAATCACTGAGTCAATGTGACTTGGTATGAGGTTTGTAAATAAGAGTAAACCTTTGTGACTTACTCTCATTGAGTAGGATATTAATGACTTTCTTCTCTGAGAAGACAGTCATGAAAAAAAAAACTGGCGTTTTGAGTGTGTGACACCATGAGTTTCCAATATTTAACCTTTTCATTTCATATTAATGTTGTGAAACTTCAGTATTTATTACATGCAAGCCATAATAATCAAAATCACAAAGAAAAAAAAATGAAAAATTTCTGCATATTGACTATACACATGTCCCTATACATGTCTATCATAACAAACAATAATAAATTCAACTACAATTCATAGGGTGCCAAAATCTGGGCTGCAGTTTCGTTTCTAAGCTTCTGAGTTTTGGCTTCAAAGATCATCTTTCTTAGGGGTTACTTGTTGGTTGAGTAGTCTGACACTTAATAGTATTAATATTTCATAATTATATTACTAAAGTAAAAGTTTTTTTTAAAAAATAGTGCAGTAAAACTAGACCTAGAAGGATGTATTTTTTCTCAAAAAATTTACGCAAGTACATTTAACTGAGTAATTGTAATTAGGTGCCAATTGCCTAATTGTAGGTCTGTTATAATTTTAGTACTCCCTTACAACTATAAAGGATTTAGCTAACCATTTAATTGAATCACTTAGTGATATAAAGATGGCATGCTCCTACTTATTTATTTATTGTGTGATAAATAACTCAATAATTAAATGAGATCTTGCCACCTTAGACTGACACCTCACAGTGACAAGATCTTAGGTGTAAATGTTGGATAAAATGACATTTTTCCATGCCTACACATCTAATAATGCTCTGTTTGTTTTTAAAAAACTTTATTTTTTTTTCACAGAACATTTTATTTAGTTTAGTTTCATATCATTTTATTTAGTTTAAAGAGGGGCTTTGTGTAGTTATTTTAAATATTAAAAGATACTGTGTACACCAGAGGGCGCTAAATGTTCAACTTTTCACTCAGATTACCCTGATTGTCATTGTTTTTGCTTTTGTAATTATGAAGGAAAAGTGCAAAACAAGGTCAGTAGGAGGGGACATAGGGATGTTCACACTGTAAAACAATATAAGGTGCATCTGTGTGTTGTAAGCTTAGGATTAAGCTTATATTCGAATAGGTTCACCTCAGTAAAATAAAACATATATTCAAAATGCATACTATCTGATTTTGCAGAAATCAAATAGGTTTTTTTCCTATGCAGCTTCAGCTGTTTAGAACTGAAGAACACCATATTGCAAGATCTACTGTATATCAATTTGAATATGTGCAATTCCAGTTTTAAGGGTAACTGTCAATGAAAGTACTGTGATGGGTGTTATAAAACAAGTCATTATTTCTGTCCAATAAATAGACCTTTGGAGGCTCTATGAACTCCATGATCCTGTAAGAGATGCTGTACCAATTTGCCCACGTCATGTAGTTTATACCCAATCTGCAGGGGCTTTAGTTCACCTGTTCTGACTCTATAAACTGGAGATTTGTAGATCCAGAAGGGGTTTAGGCCATTGGTGGTCTTTTAGGGAGATTGCTGACTCCAGTCTCTAATTGTCACCTCTCTGACTTGTTGGAAGCAGCATGAAGTGTGAAGGGTGAACATTAAGGACATGCCTCGGCTTAGCATCTCAGGAGAGAGGAAGCTTTTATAAATTAGAACTTTGAAGCTTGCAGCTTTCTAGGGAAATTGTGTTTTTAAATGATTCTTAGTATTAAGATAATCATCAAGATGCTGTTAAATGTTTAACATATTTTCTTATTTTTAGTTTGAGTAGGCATTCATGAATCATAGAGTGGTCAGATTTCTGCAAACGGTCAGTGAGACCAGAAACCGTATGTTCCACTTCTCTCGCCAAGATCTGAGGAAAGGAAGCAAGCCATGTTGCATCTTTAATGAGAGTCTGACATCTGTCTCACTATCTGTCCCGCCAGCTCCTTATTCATCTTCACCTCCACTGGACTTCCAGTAAACAGAATGCAACTAAGCCTCTAAAAATACCTTTAGGAATCTCCATTCTGCTGAGATCTCTGTAAAAGTGAACATCATTACTTGTGGTATGTGTCAGCTGATTGTATTCAGATCATTACCTTTAAAAAAAACAAATGCACAGGCATTCCTGTATTAATAGGAAATTATTTTCATCTGTGTCATTTGATTGATTGGTATAAACTCTTCATTAGCCTGTTAGAGTACTGGATCAATGCAACATTGCAACATGCATGACTGAATTGAGTACCACATAGCATGAAGTTAATAAAACATAATAACAGACAACTGCTAACGGCATATTTTGCAGCTAAACCAACACTGTGCTAAGTCTATTTGGTCCTTTTCTTAATCTGTGTTAATTTAATTAGACTAAGTAATTTTAACTGTGGAGAGACTGGTACAGCTGTGAATAGTATCATGTAGAGTTCATCCAAGGTTAAGCTAAGGCCATGATCATTTTATTTTCCAATTAATGTAAATGATATATAAACTCAAACCTCAGATCTCTAAGCCTGTGTCACATGATATTGATACCTCAGATCAACAGAAAATCAAAGATAATTAACTAAGATATCCTACAAACCATCCTAAAATACTGTATAACTCCTTTTAAGTTACATATATTTCAGTGATTGTTGGGAGTATTAAAAGCGATGTTGTATGATGTTGTTAAAAAGAAATAATTTCTGTCCTGTGATTTTTTTTTATCTTGACTCAAGTATAAAATTAAATGTTTCACATTTTTTTTGTGTGAAACAATGGTTCTACAAAAATCATTCATTTTAACAGTTTTACCTTTCTTACCAATGGGACATTGAGGATCATGATATTCAGTCTTTATATCAAAACAATAAGTCAGGAGGGAATTTTAGAGTAGATTTGTAGAATATTGTATATACCCCATTCCTATTCCCTAAGTTGGGCATGTACATTCTAATAATAAACATCTAGCCATGTTTATATAATGACACAAAACATACAGAAGGTTTAATCGGCCTTGATGAACTGACACAGTGCAAAACTAAAATTGAAACCACTTTGATTGTAGCAGGGCTCTCAAAGCATTTGAATACAGTCAAATTTGTGTTTTGATGTCTTTTTCATTAAATGCAAATGTGTTCCTGCAAGGCTATATGAAGTAAAAAGTTCCAGGAATTGCATTCTGTTTCACCCCTCGTTCTGTCCCAGAGGGAGTGTACTCTACTGTTCACAACACAAACTACTCTTGTGCACATTGGTGGAAATATTTATTTAACCCCTTTTGTCTGTGATGTTTTCTTTTACTGTCTGTTTTCATCAAACTCCCATAGGCTCTAAATGTTCCCTTTGCGATGGGGTACACTGAGGTCACACTTGCCTTTTTATAAATGAACATGTGGATGCGTGTGTGTAATGTGCCAGTATGGTCAGACTAACTTCCTTTGTGAAAGATCAGTCAACCATGTCCTTCACAATAGGCATACAGAGGAGTTCACTACCTTGTGAAAGTGTATTTTGATCTCAATGAGATCACTTCAGCTGCTTCTTTTGCACCTGGTTTACTGATATGAGTCAAAATGGGTGCAGACATATAAGATTATATTCCACCCTGCCTTACCTCTCTAATTATTAATATGCAATTAAACACACTTTGTGGATTGCAGTGCCCTTGCTATGTTCTTGTAGCTCTTTTATATCACCTTGGGAACTTTAATGCCTTTTGAATCTTTGTTTTTCAATTGATGCTGACTACCATTATTTCAAAAACCATTATTCCGGACGTTTTCAATAGTTTTTGACGTCTTCAGGAACTTGCTTAACCAGCATTTTGGCTCAAACCAATGTTGAACGGACACCCAGGAGTGGTTCAAAGGGTGGAGTGGTGGTGGAGGGCTGTGGGAATGATATTAGTCAAGAGAAATGGAGGGAAAGGTTGAAAAAATAACAGATCTTTGCTTCCTAATCCTTTTGTGTCCGTGGTGTTAATCCATTCAGACAAACCCAGTCCCCTCCAACCACCCACCCATTTTCAAAGCATCCCTTACCCCCTCCCTTCCTCTCCAGCTTTTTCACCAGCTTTTGCATCACATACCCCTCTCTCCCAGCACATAGACAACCAACAGCTATGTTGAAACCCCTACCCGTCCCACAGATAGTTGTGCAGTGACATTCCACTGACAAAAACAGCAACTCAGTGACAGATCTATGTTTTTATTTTATCTTTTACCTATGTAGCCCCAGGGAACACAATTGGAATTAGTCTGTTTGCTTTACATATTTGTGAATTTAATTATTAATCTAGCACCAGCCTTTTCATTTGTGCATGGAGGAAATTGCAAAGTGCTGTTGTTTTGCTCTGAGTACTTTCCTTATTCCTCATTGTTT